ATATGATGAAGAGGTTTAGTAAAAACATCGACAAGATAGTTGGAAGACAAAACAGGAAAAAGATGAGCTAATGAAATACAAGATTATGAGTTAAGTAAATAACAGACTGATTGTTATATTAGACTACAGTAGGACCCAATGAAACATGGAGATTACGAAAAAGATAATGTAACCATTGAATCTCACAAGTGAGACTGACTAATGCTCAATATTCTGCTTCGGAGGATGAACGAGAGAGAATAGATTGCTTCTTGGATTTGCGGAAAATCAAAGAACAAAGAAAAACACAAAATTCAGTGATTGAGCGGCGAGTGTCCAAACAACAAACTCAGTTCGAATCAACAAAAGTAAAAAGACGAATATCAGCAGAGGCAGAGAAAAATAACCCTTTGTTAGGTGAACCTTTTAAGTATCTAAGAACCCGGATGACAGCTTTATAATGAACATATATAGAGAGATTGAACCATGAATTAACTAAGCTACTGGACAGAAAATGTAATGTCAGTGCGCGTAAGTGTGAGGTATAACAATTTACCAACTAATCTACGATAAGCAGCAGAATCGAAATACAGTTGTCCATGATTAACCAAAAGTTTAGTAAAAGGATCAGAAGAAGTGGTAGTGGGTTTGAAACCAAGTAAATCACTATCATCAAGAAATTTAAGAGTATGTTTACTTCGATTTGTGTGAATATCGGACTTGAATTGTGTAATTTTTAATCCCAAAAAATAATGAAGAACACCAATATCTTTAATATTGAATTTAGTATTAAAGACATATTTGATAAAATTAATTTTATCTATATTATCATCAGCTAAAATAATGTCATTCATGTAAACTAATAAAGTTATGAAAAAAAGGGAAAGTAATCCTAACAAACAAAATTTGATCAACAAAATATTATTTATATTTGAAAAATAAAAGAGTAATAAAAAGAATACTGTGTTTTGTTAGCATTTACTAATTAGTATATAGTAGTGTACATTTTCTGACTTCCATTTCATAATTTCAGTACAACAAATTATTGCCTCTCGGGAATGAATTGTCAACCTCTAAGTGATTCTCCAAATACGCTTATTCCATCTCAACCTTCAGAACGTGGCGCAGGAAATGAACCTTTGAAAGGTGGAAGTGCGAAGATCATTAACAATCTAAACATAGCATTAGTAGCTATGCAAACTCTGTTGCCACTGGTGTTACTACTTAATAGTGCTATGTATTTTTAGGTCCATCGTCCATGCAATTGTTGGTATTATTAGTTAATGTACTTGTTTGTTATAAATATATTGTATCCCTTCGTCACTATGAATGAAGAAATATTAGTTTTATCATTTTTAGTCCTAGAGATAGAATAATTACCCTTCTCCTTATTTTTTTGATCATATAAAACTGATTCTCATACACAAATTAGCAAAACTTCATACAGCAGCAACGCACATATTCTGTTTATTTGTTTTCTTTTTCTACAAGATATACAAAAAAAATCTTACCAAGGAAGCCATGGGTCCGTGGCTGTACTCATGAGTCATGTGTGACTTTGAGATATAGCGTTAGAAGGTCCAAAACCACTTTGAGATGCCCTAGTTTATGAAATTCATAATTTCACCTGCTTCATCCATAATGACCATTTAACAGCTTCTAAAAATTTATTTACCATTTCTTCGCACTGTAGTGATAAGATTGCTGTAGGTTTTCTTATCAGGTTGAATTCCACCTTTGCTCATTTCCTTGATCAAATATATATGTTAAATTATTTTAATTTAATATTGACTTGTAAGATGACTACAAAAATCAGAAAAGAATATTCTACCTAATTCTATATATTCGAGAAAATCATTAAAGAAATTAAGAGAAAGAAAAACATCAATAACTATTAAAGAGAATATTTTTAAGTATTTCAAAATAGATCTAGATAACTTTTTAAACCCTTCTAACATTTCAACCATTCATGCAAATCCCATATGCCTTGGCCATGAACTATAGCTGCAAAAATAAGGTCTGAATCTTCACTCTTTCAATTCTGTAACATTAATTAATCTTTGTTCTCCATATATATTGATCATAGTGTTGTATGTGTAGTGGCCAGAGGCTCAATTTGAGTCCTTCATCTGTTGCAATACGATCTAAATACCTCCATTTGACCATTTTTCCCGGAAATGTACCATTGAATTGTATACTTCAAGTGAAACTGAAATTGAATACTGACATCCACCATCTTCCACATCATCCAGATCTTACAAACAGCTTCATCATCTCCATATTAAGATTCCAGCTTAATCAATGTAAACATGTTGGAAGAACTGGACTTGTACCCAACCTTTGAGTTCTTTATAATATCTCGTGATGTATACTTAGTTATCCGCTCTACCTCAACCTTAAATCATGGATACGTTAGTTGTTAGAAGAGTTGAAATCCCGATGGAAATAAGACAATTTCAGTAACATAAAGATAAACCTACAGAACCTTAGAATTTTAGGTCGAAGATATATTCTTTTTACATTATTCAGTCTTGGCTCTTGCAATTACTTTGTTGCATTTCCAATAAATATCATCCAAATCTATTATTGGCAAAATACTTTATTCATATCATTATGTAAAATGATATTATTAGTTTACTTCCTTTATCAAATTTTAAATTAATAGCAAATACAGTTGAAGTGAAAAGTAATCTCAATTTTATTTAAAGGTTATTATTAAAAAAAAATTTTACATTTGTATATTAACTGATTGAATATAGTTCAGAATAATTTTTAAATTACAACTTTTTATTTTATAAAATTAAGGATATCAAATATTTTTAACTAACACTAATATTTCTAGCGTGAAATTAAGTATAAACTTTAAGAAAATTTCATATAAATGACATAATATTTTCAAAATATCATATAAATAATAAGTATTAATTTGTAAAAGTAGTTTGGTATTAAATATGTAAATGATTCATTTAAGACATTTATTTTTATCATTTTGATCTCTATAATTTTTTTTTCCATATGTATATATAACAAAAAGATTTCTTTCTACTTTTATTTCTTAATCCTGAAGTAAATAATTTTTTTTAATATCTCCAAAAGTAATTTAAGATTATTGATTTCATATGTAAATAATAATAATAATAAAAAATCTTATCATTTCTGTCTCTTTTCATTTAACGTTAAAGACTTGTTCACGAAATTCTATATATCTTTTATCTCAAAGATATTAATTTATTTTAATAATTTATATATAATAATATGATAAGTTAATTTCATAAAAGAATATGCATGTGTTAAGAGATTAGTCCTTGATTTTCAGTGAAAAATATGCATAATTCAAACTAAGAATGATTGAAATATTTTGATGCATATACATCTTATTTATCAAACACATGGACGGTTGAGGTATTTATCAAGTCTTAACCTCCCATCAAATGGGTTGTTGGCAACATAACATTGATGAATCCATGTCATGAGATGCATAAAACAGAGACACATTTAGATGACATTTTGCTGTTACTAGGTGTGATTTCAAGCGTCACCATCCCAAAGCTCTTCCAAGGTATTGTAAGGTCCATTTTCTGACACAAAGCTTATTCCACTATACATCCTATGCTGTGGAATGTGGCTGAATTTCTGTGTTTCCTCCTGCCTCAGTTCCCACTCAAATATGTCGAGGTTTTCTTTCATTCTCTCCTTGTTGAAGCTTCTCACAATCACACTTGCTCCTTGCTCGTAGACCCATCTTAGTGCAATCTGCATCACAACGCCATTGCCCCAACTCAATATACTTATAATTTTATATATTTTCAACCATCAACTATACTAACATAAACTTGCACCCATACATCGTCATTTCAGTTAAAAAACATTATATGGTCACAAAAGTAGAGTTGTAATGTGTGGATAGTTTAAGTCTGAGATAGTGAGAGAACCTGAGCCATGCTCTTCTGTCTTGCACAAGCGATTTCCTTAAGGATTGGGCTCTCCATTACGGCATTTGTACCACAAAAACTTTTGTAAGATCCCAGTGGTGACCATGCACTCACATGAATTCCCTTATGCTTGCAAAATTCTGTGAGTTTCCCCTGCTGCCACGATGGGCTCATTTCCACCTAAAACCAATGGAAAGGAATCGACATCATTAACAACTGTTTCGTCACTGTCCAAATATCAATCTGCATGCAGTTGCTAAATCTTCATACCTGATTGACAGCAGGAGGGATGGTAGCATTTTCCAAGAGCTGGCTGAGCTTTTTGATGCCAAAGTTGCTGACACCAATAGACTTTACTAACCCCAATCTGTAACACTCTTCCATAGCTTCCCATATTCCTTTCATGTCAAAGGAGGGCATCACATTCTCCTTTAATATATCAGCAGGCCCTTTGGCTTCAGGTTTCAGCCTCACAGGCCAATGAATCAAATAGAGATCTACATACTCCAACCCCAACTTCCTAAACAGTTTCAGGGAAATTTACATAACATCCAACAAGGGAAACAAACTCTAGAAGAAGATACTAAGATTAGGTTTAAAAAGTATGTTGTAACACTTAAAACAATAGTTTTCAGATATAAAAATTAAAAAGTAACCAACTGAGTGGTTAAACCTCCTGTATACTTACTGCAGTGAGGTCTTGAGAGCTGGGACAACAAGGTCAGGGTGAGCATCACTTGTCCATAGTTTTGAAGTGATGAATACTTCATCTCTGCTCTTTACAAGGCCTAGCTCCAAAGCCTTTTCCACAGCTTTGCCTAGAGGCTCCTCACTTCCATACAATGCAGCAGTATCAAAGTGTCTGTAGCCAACCTCAAAGGCATCAATAAATATGGAGGTGAGAGTTTCATCTGGTGGACGAGGAATTGATGCGGTTCCAAGGCCTATCACTGGCATCTTTTGCCCTGAGTTTAGCATCACTTCTGGGATTCTTCTTGCTTCCATATTTTCTGTTGGGTTTGACTTAATGAATGTTGAAATGTTGCACACAATAACACTGGTGGTCATCACAATATAGTAGACTAAAACATGAAGATAACTAAGGACAAAACATTGAAGAAGTTCTTTTATCTTTGCTGTCAAGTTCTCTAATCAAATGATGCTGCAATGATTTTCTTGTGACAAAAGTCCAAATTAAAAAAAAAAAGAAAAAGAAACTCATGTCACCAATTTGGTTAGAGAAGTTGATAATATATTTAATTAATTATTTTCATATTTATAAAAAAATTAAATAAATTTTGATTGGATTACAAATTTGACAAATTATTAAATTTAACTATAGAAAAATTTAGAAGATAAAAAATTATAAATATACAAATAATTCAAAATATATTTGGAAACGTGTCCCGATATCACTAGGAAAATTCGTCTCTGCGCACACTCTATCTTAGCTCTAAACAATTTCAAACCACAAAAACAAATAAAAGATTGGATAAGGAAGTGCCACAAAATGAAAAAAAAAAAAAAATGGATAGAATGATGCTTACTGGATAGTGGTCTTGGGAGTTTACAGAAGATGTGGTGAGCATTAGTGTTCCATAACTTTGACGATGTAAATCGATAACTGATTCCAAATAAGATTGACTTTTAGGTTTCGAATATGTTAATTAAAGAAAATTAGGAATTAAAATTAAAATAGGGAAAAACTTAGATAAAGAAAAACTCAATTTGATACGCTTAAGAGTGATCACTATACACGAATTGATATACACGAATTGACATATTCTTGAAAAGACGAAAGATGGGAGAAAAAATCTAATAAAGAATTATTCGAACCTTGATTTAGGGTTTGAAATAATTAAGTTCAGTTAATTAAGAATTGATAAATTCTCGATAAGATAGAAGATATGCAACATAAAAAATCATAGTAGATAATTATTCTCACTTATATTTAGGGTTTAAAATCAATTAAAAACAGAAAATTAAAAATTAAAATAAAATAGAGAAAAACTTAAATAAAAAAAGACATTACAAACAAAATTTGATAAGCTAAGAATGATCACTTCAAAAATTGATAAATTCATGATAAGATGAAAGATATAAAAAAGAATCATAGTAGAAAAATATTTTCACCTTAATAAAGATAATCTGTTGACTCTTTCCTGAATTTAACAGTTATAAATATAAATTTAGGATTTCTTAGGGTTTGACTTTGTAATTAAATAAAAGAAAAACAAAACTTAAAGAAATATATATAAAATCAATTGACTCAAATGGTGAATTAATCAAATTTTAAATTAATAGTTTTAGGTTTGAATCTCACTTCCATTAAAAAAAATATATTTTTATTTTATTTCCTCCACCCCATAATTTCTTTCTGTATCTCTATAATTATATTAAATCTCATTTTACCCTTATACTTATCTTCATCTTCAGAATACATTATGGATTAACCTTTTCGGAATATCCATTCTGAAATTTGTTTCGGAACACCTAATTCAAAATGTATTTTCAGATTGACTTTTGCGAAAACACATTTTGAAATACTCAGTCCGGAATGCATTTCTGGAATTCAACCTTATTTTTATGACATTTTTCATATTGAGCATTTTGAGTCAATTTGTGCAATTTGAGTAAAAAACATATAATTCTTTCATAATATTAATTATTAATTTATTTTTAATTGTTAGAAAAAGGTCTTCAAGGTGATAAAAAAAATAGTCAAAGGATAGAGTTGCACAAGTTGTACATAAACGGAAGAAGAAGGGAAAGTAAAAAATAAAATTATAACAAGAGTATTTTAGAAATTTGATTTCAGTACGGTAAGTGTGTTATGCTGTTATCAAACTATGCATAATCTCTTTAGGGAGCACATCATTTGATAACTCTTTATTTTAACTCTTTATTATAAACCAAGTGGTTATGATTAAAAAAATGCACATGACTTTTTAAAATGATTATGTGACCACTAACCAACTTTTATTTGACCATCTATATATGGTTGTATGATCCAAAATTTATTGTTCTCATTCTTAGTCTCCTCATAATAAAAACATATGTCACTTGATATACAGATAGATATAGAAGATCTAAACGTTGCCATGTGTTATTTTAACTCAGTATTTACACTTTTGTCTGTGTTTCCTTTTGTCAATTTAGTGGAAGGTTTGTTACAACTGCAGTTGGCATTTGAAGTGCTTGTGGAGTGGAGTGGTGACCATTATCTACCATATCCATATAACTGGGATTGGATACAATGCAGTTCTAATGTCAAACCTAGAGTAACTGCATTGTAAGTTGATGTCACTTCTTTCAAACAATGTTTAGACATTATATACAACTTAACTTCTAATTTATATATATGATGGAAAAACATAGGTATCTTACTGGTTATAATCTGCGAGGCACACTTCCGGATTTCAGTTCCATGAATGCACTTGAAATCATGTGAGACACATAAAATCCTCAAAATATGTTGTTTCATCTGATATTTTCAAACCTTGGCTTTCTATTTATAAATTAAACTTCTGTGAATTGCAGTTATGTGAACAACAATACCATAGAAGGCCCAATTCCTGATTTCCTTGGTCTTCTTCCTAATCTCAGAACATTGTATGTTTCATTCTTATACACATAATGTTTCAACAAATGCAACCCATGCTTTGAACTCTATCCATTGAAAACTATATTTTTCCAATTCTTTGTGCAGGAATTTGTCTTATAACAGATTCAATGGTTCCATACCAACATCTCTTGAGAATAAAAACATTGAACTTGAGTAAGTCGATTTTCGTATGCTTTTTTTGATAGTGAGCAGCTAAAATAGAATGCAACTGTGATTTTTCAAAATCATTTTTCAAACAACTTTTCTTTTATTGTTCATATATGTTAGATGAAATTTATCTATTTTTATTACAAATTTCTCACCCTAAAAAGAGTATAAACAGGGTATATGTATAACCCCGTAGAACATAAAAAAAAAAGAATTTATCATAACTAAAAATAATACAAAAGAGAAAAAGTAAAATTTGTTATAGAAAAATAATTATGTTAATACTTCTCCTCAAGTTAGATGGTAGATGTCACAAAAACCCAACTTGGATATAAAATTATCAAAAAATGTATGATAAAAAGATTTAGTAAAAATATTCGTAAGCTGGTTGAATGACAAAATAGGAAAAAGATGAACCAGATCTTGTTGAATTTTCTCACAAATCACTTGATAATCGATCTCGATGTGTTTAGTGTGCTCATAAAATACATGATTATGAGCTAAGTAAATAGCAGACTGATTGTCACAATAGAATGTAGTAGGATCCAATGAAACATGAAGAGATAATGTAACCATTGAATCTCACAAGTGAGACTGACTAATGTTTGATATTTTGCTTTGAAAGATGAATGATAGACAGGTTGCTTCTTGAATTTCCTGGAAATCAAGGAAGAACCAAGAAAAACACAAAATCTGGTGATCGAGCAGCGAGTGTCCAAACAACAGGCTTAGTCCGAATCAACAAAAGCAAAAAGACGAATGTCAGCAGAGGCAGAGAAAAATAACCCTTGAGCAGGTGAACCTTTTAAGTATCTAAGAACCCAGATGAAAGTTTTATAAAGAACATCAAAATGTTGAGTCATGAATTGACTAAGTTGTTGGATAGAAAAGGCAATATCAGGGCGCGTAAGTGTGAGATATAACAATTTACTGACTAATCTGCGATAAGCAGTAGTATCGAAATATGGTTGTTCATGATTAGCTTGAAGTTTAGTAGATGGATCAAAAGGAGTGGTAGCAGGTTTGAAACCAGGTAAACCATTATCAAGAAGTTTAAGAGTGTATGTACGTTGTTGGTTCATGTGAATGTCGGACTTGGACCGTACAATTTCTAATCCCAAAAATTAACGAAAAACACCAAGATCTTTAATCTTGAATTTAGTATCTAAGACACATTTGAATTCGTCTATATCATCACTAGCTAAGACAATATCATTCACGTAAACTAATAAAGCTGTGAAAGAAGTGGAAGTAACATTGACAAAACAAAGATCGACCAGCGAAAGATTTTTGTAGTTGAGAAATAAAAGAGTGGTAGAAAGAATAATGTGACATTACTTGTTGGTTTGCTTGAGTCTATATAATGACTTGTGAAGTTTGTAAACCTGAGAAGAACCCGTTGGAAGCAAACCAGGTGGAGGGACCATATAGACTTCCTCATGAAGCTCTCCATGAAGAAAGACATTATTCACATCAACCTAGTACAGAAACCACCTTTTAACTGATGTTATAGCTAGAAGAACACGGACAATGGTGATCTAGACAATCGACGAGAATGTGTCAAAATAATTCACTCTCTCTAACTGAGTGTAGCCCTTGGCCACTAAGCGGGCTTTGTATCTATCAACAATATCATATGCATGATATTTAACTTTGTAAACCCAGTTACAACCAATGAGACTCTTTCTAATGGGGATAGGTTCATATCACTTTCCTTGTGGGAGATCAACAATAGACCAGATATTATTTTGCTGTAAAAACTGTAACTCAATATTCATAGCCTATTGCTAATAATACAATTTAGATGCTTGGGAGAAAGTAGTAAGTTCAGAAATATTAGTAATAGCAAAACAAAAAATTTTATAAGAGGAATTGCATTTGGAATAATCAAGAACTGAGGATAAAGAATGCAAACAAGTACCCTTAAGAGAATGTGTAGAACTGCTAGAAGTAATTGCGAAATGACAATGAAAATCTATTAGATAAGAGGGTGATCAGGTGGAGTGTCTAATATGTGGAGAAGAAAATGTAAGAGAGCTAAGGTTCTAGTTCGAATTTATAGTAGATGAAATGTTTGTAGCAGAAGGGTGATGAATAGGCTCGAACAATGATAATGTATTTGAAGAAAAGATATAAATGGAATGTCTGTAGCAGAAGGGTGATAAATAGGCTCACACAAGGATAAAATATTTGCAGGAGAGGATATATATGGAATTTATGTAGCAGAAGGGTGATGAATAGGCTCAGACACAGATAAGGTATTTGCAGGAGAGAATATATCAGATAATAGAGGAAAAAAAGAAGAAGTTGAGAAAGGAGTGGTGAAGGAATGAAAAAGAAACATAGTTTCATAAAGAATGACATTTTTTGAAAGAAACATTTGATGGGTATGGAGGTCATACATAACATAGTCTTTAGTACCTTCCCTATATCCCAAGCAAAGAGTTTTGCTGGCGCGGGACTGAAATATAGTTATGTGATTTTGAAGCGTAGTGGTACAAGCAAGACAACCAAAAATCTTTAAATGAATCATGCTAGGTGGTTTATCATATAACACTGCATAAGGGCATTTAAAATGCAATAATGGAGTAGACAATTTATTAATGACATGAACAACTTGTTGAACAACATAAGGCCAAAATATGTGAGGTAGTTGAGCTTGGTAAAACAATGTTCGACCTACATTTAAAAGATGTTGATGTTTGTGTTCAACAACATTATTTTGTTGAGACGTTTCAACACAAGTTCTTTAATGAAGAATTCCTTTGGATAAAAAAAATTAGTTAATAAAAATTCTACTTCATTGTCACTTCAAAAATATTTGAGTTTAGTATGAAATTGAGTTTCAATCAATGAAATGAAATATATTAAATGTGTGTGGGTTTTAGATTTGGATTTCATAAATTTAATCCAGGTAAAACATGAGTAATCATCAACTAAAGTGAGAAAATATTTGTAACCGTAATTAGAAGGTACAGAATATGGTGCCCATATGTCTCCATGAATAATGTCAAAAATTTTGTATGACTGTGTTTCACTACTATGATGAGACAACTTGTATTGTTTAGCAAAATGACAAATGTCACAAGGAGAGAGATTTATAGAGTAAGGGATAAAAGGATATTATTGAGAAAGAATACGAAAAATAGAGTCAGAGACAAGACCTAATCTATGATGCCAACGAGAAGTATCTTTGGGTTTGCTAGTAGTGGTATGAACAAAAACATACATTCCTTGGTGCAAGCTAGCCGAATCACTCATCCTCTGAGAGGTTTGCTGCAAAATAACATAAGAGTTAGATTAAAAAAGGAGATGATAGTGCAAGATTTGGATCAATTTTTGAACAGAAACCATATTTATATGAAAATTGGAAACGAAAAGAATATTATGAAGAATTAAGGAATCTAACGACATAACAATACCAGATATAGAAGTGAAAACTTGGACAACATTTGACAAAGTAATGAAAATAGATAAAATAGATTTATGAGAGACAAAACTATAAAAATCAAAAGTGATATGATCAGTAAAACCTGTATCCAGAAGTAATTGAGGAGATGTTTTACCTGAAAGAATGGAAAGAGTTTTAGGAACAGTGGAAGAAGAATTAATCGAAGGAGTGAACACCGAAGTTATTGTATGCGCAAGAGATTTGGATTGTTGCAAAAGAGTTAGAATGTTATGATACTGCTCTTTAGTAAATTTAGGCAGTGACCATGAGATCTCGTGAAGATTGGAGACGTTGGTAATAATAGAGTCAGATGGAAAAGCACCAGAGGCGGAATTATTGGCTATGCGATTTTTATATCCTAGTGGAAAACCATGTTTGAAATAACACATACCCATTGTGTGATTTGTGTGCGTTCATAATAAGTGCATAATTTATTACTATGGAAACTTCTTCCTCCATTATTTCTACCACGACCTCTTAGAAAGAAATTACCTCTGCCTTGTCCTTTATAGAAAGGATTTGAGTTAGAAATATCATCATTCTTGGACTGTAAATTCGGAGAAGTAGTAACAACTAAGGTTTGTGAATTAAGAATAGTCTTGTTGGATTAAAAACTTTGGTAATTTCGGGAAGATGATCGATTAACATAATTTGAGATTATACGGAGACATACTAATCATTGCGGTCTTTCAAAATTCGAATGGCATAATCTTGTTGCTTATAGCGTCAAACAGAATTAAGAACATCACAAGAACATTTGATAGTACATGTGCAATTAACAAAATGACAAAAACTATCGATTTCCTCCTAAAAAGTATGTAATTCTGTGTGTAAAATTCAGTTATAGAAAGAGTACCTTAGTGTAATTTGTATATATTTTCCTGTAAATCTGTAATACGAAAAATATCTCATTGATTAAAGAGATGGTACAAATCTTGCCAAAAGTTGGAAGTATGTTTGATCCAGAGAATGGGTTTAAGAATGGTTTCATGCATCCATCGTTAGATCCAAGAAATAACCATTGTGTTACAACGATCTCAAAGTTCGTGAAGAAGGTTGATTAATGGTTGTTCGGAGAGATTGTCATTGACAAATTTCAGCTTATTCTTGTATTTGAACGCAAGTTTCATGACGCGGGTTCAGGCGTGAAAATTCTTGTCATCCAACAAAATGGAGACAAGAACGAGAATAGAGTTTTTGTTGGAAGGAAGAAAGAATAGATTTGAGATATTAGTAGAAAAGTCATTATAGGGTTTTCTTTGATTAACATATTCTCATCCTAAAAAGGAGTATATATATATATATATATATATATATATATATATATATATATATATATATATATATATTTATATATAACCCATGGAAAAAAAAAGAAAAAATTTATCATAACTAAAAATAATATAAATAGAAAAAACAGGATTTGTTATTGAAAAACAATTATCCTAATATTTTCTTCCTTGTAATATATAGCAGTGTACATTTTCTGAATTCTATTCCCTGATTTCAGTACAACAAATAATTGTCTCTAGGGAATGAATTGTCAACCTCTAAGTGATTCTCCAAACATGCTTATTCCATCTCAACCTTGAGGACATGTTGCAGGAAATGAACCTTTGAAAGGTGGAAGTGCGAAGATCATTATCAATCTAAACATAGCATTCATAGTAGCTATGAAAACTCTGTTGCCACTGGTGTTACTAATTAATAGTACTAAGCACTTTTAGGTCCATGCAATTATTGGTATTACTAATGAACTTGTTTGTTCTAAATATATTGTATCCCTTCGCCACTATGAATAAAGAAATATTAATTTTATCTCTTTTAGTCCTAGAATTAGGAGTAGAGATAGAATAATTATTCTTCTCCTTATTTTTTGTATATCACATAAAACTGATTCTCATACAGAAATTAGCAAAACTTCATACAGCAGCAACGCACATATTCTGTTTATTTGTTTTCTTTTTCTGCAAGATATACAAAAATATATTACTCATGTATGACTTTTAAGGTCAAATTATTCTTCAAAGATCGAGCGTTAGAAGTCCAAAACCACTTTGAGATGTGCCATAGTTTATGGAATTCATAATTTCACCTGCTTCATCCACAATGACCATTTAACTGCTTCTAAAAATTTATCATTTCTTCGCACTGTAGTGATATGATCGCTGTATGTTTTCTTATCAGGTTGTAATCCACCTTTTCTCATTTCCTTGATCAAATATATATGTTAATTTATTTAAATTTAATATTAACTTATAAGATGACTAAAAAAATATCAGAAAAGAATATCCTAACCCTTCTAACATTTCAACCATTCATGCAATCCCATATGCCTTGTCAATGAATTATAGCTGCAAAAATCAGGTCTGAATTTTCACTCTTTCAATTCTGTAACCGCGTTATCTACTTCATTAATTCATCCTTGTTCTCCATAGATATTGATCATAGTGTTGTATGTGTATTGGTCAGAGGCGCAATTTTAGTCCTTCATCTGTTGCAATACAATCTAAATGCCTCCATTTTTCCCGTGAACATCTATCATTGAATTGTATACTTCAAGTGAAACTGAAAACCCACCAAGTTTCATTTTCTGAACTGTCAATGACATGTTGAAGTCTTTATTTTTTTCCATATGCAACTTTGATTGTATTGTCAATGGCATTAAATTTAATTGTGCCAGGTGCAAACTACGAAAAATATGCATAATTAAGGTTGAAATATTTTGATGCATATAGATCCTATTTACTTAGTCTTGGGCAAGTTAATAATAACACGATAACAAATGGACGGTGAGATATTTATCAAGTCTTAACCTCCCATCAAATGGGTTGTTGGCAAATTGATGGATCCATGCCATGATATGCATAAAACTGAGACACATTTAGATGACATTTTGCTGTTACTAGGAGTGATTTCAAGCGTCACCATCCCAAAGCTCTTCCAAGGTCTTGTAAGGTCCATTTTCTGATACAAAGCTTATTCCACTATACATCCTATGCTGTGGAATGTGGCTGAATTTCTGTGATTCCTCGTGCCTCAGTTCCCACTCAAATATGTCAAGGTTTTCTTTCATTCTCTCCTTGTTGAAGCTTCTCACAATCACACTTGCTCCTTGCTCGTAGACCCATCTTAGTGCAATCTGCATCACCACGCCATTGCCCCGACTCAATATACTTATAAATTTATCTATTTTCAACCATCAACTATACTAACATAAACTTACACTCACAGATCGTCATTTCAGTTAAAAAAACATTATATGGTCACAAAAGTAGAGTTGTAATGCGTGGATAGTTTAAGTCTGAGATGGTAAGAGAACCTGAGCCTTGCTCTTCTGTCTTGCATAAGCGATTTCCTTAAGGATTGGGCTATCTATTACTGCATTTGTACCAAAAAAACTTTTGTAAGATCCCAGTGGTGACCATGCACTCACATGAATTCCTTTCTGCTTGCAAAATTCTGTGAGTTTCCCCTGCAGCCACGATGGGCTCATTTCCACCTAAAACCAATGGAAAGGAATCGACATCATTAACAACTGTTTCATCACTGTCCAAATATCAATCTGCATGCAGTTGCTAAATCTTCATACCTGATTGACAGCAGGAGGGATGGTAGCATTTTCCAAGAGCTGGCTGAGCTTTTTGATGCCAAAGTTGCTGACACCAATAGACTTTACTAACCCCAATCTGTAACACTCTTCCATAGCTTCCCATATTCCTTTCATGTCAAAGGAGGGCATCACATTCTCCTTTAATATATCAGCAGGCACTTTGGCTTCAGGTTTCAGCCTCACAGGCCAATGAATCAAATAGAGATCTACATAATCCAACCCCAACTTCCTAAACAGTTTCAGGAAAATTTACATAACATGCAACAAGGGAAACAAACTCTATAAGAAGATACTAAGATTAGGTTTAAAGAGTATGTTTTAATACTTAAAACAATATCTTTCAGATATAAAAATTAAAAAGTAACCAAATGAGTGGTTAAACCTCCTGTATACTTACTGCAGTGAGGTCTTGAGAGCTGGGACAACAAGGTCAGGGTGAGCATCACTTGTCCATAGTTTTGAAGTGATGAATACTTCATCTCTGCTCTTTACAAGGCCTAGCTCCAAAGCCTTTTCCACAGCTTTGCCTAGAGGCTCCTCACTTCCATACAATGCAGCAGTATCAAAGTGTCTGTAGCCAACCTCAAAGGCATCAATAAATATGGAGGTGAGAGTTTCATCTGGTGGACGAGGAATTGATGCGGTTCCAAGGCCTATCACTGGCATCTTTTGCCCTGAGTTTAGTATCACTTCTGGGATTCTTTTTGCTTCCATATTTTCTGTTGGGTTTGACGTGATGAATGTTAAAATGTTATCATAGAACATGAGAAAGAGTTAATTGTAAGCCTTTTGAAGAAAACTAGAAACATTATCTTGGATGGACTGGTCCACACGAATACAAACACATTAAAATAACTGATTTCCCCCTTACCATCCTTTTTTGTTTTTTGTTTTTGTCGATTCTTGATAGCTCCAAATCCAAACCTTTTATTCCTTAAATAAGTCACGCACTATGATAAATTGCCTTAAGTAACATGATGTGAAATTAGTTATTATGTATGTACGTGGATTATCCTGCTATTAAATTTCAAACTCTAAAATGAGATGAGTAAAAAAGAAAAAGTTAAACTAAAGTGTTGATTAATCTTATCAAATAGTGTTTAGATTGACCTTTAATGGTATTTTAATGAATTAAGAAGGAAGGTCTAAACGAAAACCAACAGTTTTTACTTTTGCTTAAATGTGAAAGTAAAAAATTGAAAATAATTCAAATTTATCAGTACAGCTGTTGCTGATTATTCCTGCAGGCCTAGTTCGCTATCAAGTATGTGAAAGTTTTGTTTCTTCCTCTCCTTGAAGCTTCACACTTTACCACTTGTCATCACAATATAGGAGACTAAAACATGACAGATAACTAAGGACAAAACATTGAAGAAGTTCTTTTATCTTTGCCGTCAAGTTGTCTAATGAAATGATGCTGCAATGATTTTCTTGTGACAAAAGTCCAAATTAAAAAAAAAAAAAACTCATGTCACCAATTTGGTTAGAGAAGTTATTCATAATATATTTGATTAATTATTTTAATATTTATCAGAAAAAATTAAATAAATTCATAATTGTATATATAATATTTTGATTAGATTACAAATTTAACATATTATTAAATTTAAATATAAAAAAATTAGAATTACCAAAATTATAAATATACAAGTTAAAAAATTCGTCTCTGCGCACACTCTGTGTTGGCTTTCTAAACAATTTCAAACCTCAAAAACAAATAAAAGATTGGATAAGAGAGGATTAAAATGATGCTTACAGGAGTGGTGTTGAGAGTTGGGAGAAGATGTGGTGAGCATTAGTGTTCCATAACTTTGATGTAAATGAACACTTCTCCACATTCTTTACAAGGCCTTGATTTAAAGCCTTTATACAGCTAGGCCTATAGGTTCTTCTGTATTCAAGTAAAAGAAAAATAACAGAGATAATGAGCAGAAGAGAATTCTTGAATTAGGAAAACTGTAACAATACATTGAAATGTACAAGAGAAGCTGAGATATATATAACCAGTTGGTAACTAATAAAACTAACTTTCTTACAGATTTCAGTTATTACAACTATTATCTCCTCAAGCCGAGGATGAAAAAATATTGATCAAACTCAGCTTGGAACAGAAATGTGTGAAAACGCAAGAAAATATTCTGGATGGTTTCTCTGGTTATTTTCAGATCCATATTGCTCCTGAGGATCAAGAGAAAACCACATTCACCTGCCCCTTTGGCACTTTTGCCTATAGGAGAATGCCTTTTGGCCTATGCAATGCCCTTGGTACCTTCCAGCGATGTATGCTTAGTATCTTTTCAGATTTCCTTGAAAATTGTATAGAGGTGTTTATGGATGATTTCACTGTGTATGGATCCTCGTTTGATGCATGCTTAGATAATTTGGATAGAGTGCTTAATAGATGCATTGAAACTAATCTTGTTCTGAATTTTGAAAAATGTCACTTCATGGTAGAACAGGGTATAGTTTTAGGGCATATCATTTCTAGTAAGGGCATAGAAGTGGATCCTGCAAAAATCTCTGTTATTTCACAATTGCCTTACCCCTCTTGCGTGCGAGAGGTTCGATCTTTTCTTGGCCATGCGGGTTTCTACAGGCGGTTCATTAGAGACTTCGAGTAAGAAGGCCCTTCCACTATCCAATCTGCTTAGAAAGATATTGAATTTGATTTTGATGACAGGTGCAAAAAGGCATTTGATCGCCTCAAGGAAGCATTGACCACCACTCCTATCATTCGGGCACCTGATCGGACGAGTCCCATTTGAGTTGATGTGTGATGCATCTAATTATGCATTGGGGGTCGTCCTAACACGAAGAGTTGATAAGTCTGCCTCGGGTAATATATTATGCTTCCAGGACTTTAGATGCTTGCCCAAGCAAACTATACCACCACCGAGAAAGAGCTTCTTGCCATTGTGTTTGCTCTTGATAAATTCGAGATCATATTTGCTTGGTTCTCGTGTTATTGTGTTCACCGATCATGCGGCTTTGAAATACCTACTAAAGAAGGCTGAGTCAAAGCCTCGATTGATTAGGTGGATGCTCGGCTCCAAGAATTTGATTTGGAGATCCATGATAGGAGTGGAGCACAAAATTTGGTCGCGAGACCATTTGAGCGAGAATAGAGAGGTGTGCTTGATGATGCTTCACCAATCCGGGATGACTTTCCCGACGAGGGTTTGTTTGCACTTTACGCTTCTTTTCCAACACCTTGGTTTGCAAACATTGTTAATTATCTTGTAGCTTCGTTTTTCCTCCCTTAGCATCCAGAGCTCAATGTGATAAACTTAAGAGCGATGCTAAGTATTATATTTGGGATGACCGTATTTGTGGAAGTTGTGCGGTGATCGGGTTACCAGGAGATGCATTCCGAGACCATGAGATTGACTCGGTCCTGCAATTTTGTCATTCTTACGCAGCCGGTGGTCATCTTGGCATTCGAGAGGACAGCTCGCAAGGTGCTTGGCTGTGGTTTCTATTGGCCCACCATCTTCAAGGATGCGTTGAGAATTTGCGGCACTTGTGAGCGGTGTCGAGAGAGCGGGAGGGTCCCTTACATGGAGACGACGAGATGCCCCGACAACCCATGTTGTTTTGTGAGGTGTTTGATGTTTGGGGTATCGATTTCATGGGTCCCTTCCTGTTTCTTTTGGTTTTTATTATATTCTCCTTGCTTGTTGATTATGTTTCAAAATGGGTGGAAGCCAAAGCCACCAAGACTAATGATGCTCGGGTTGTTGTGGATTTTGTTAGATCTAACATCTTTTGCAGATTTGGAGTACCCAGAGCCATTGTTAGTGATCAAGGCACCCATTTACGTAATAGGTCCATGCAAGCCTTGCTCAAGAAGTATGGGGTTGTTCACAAAATCTCTACACCTTACCACCCCCAAACTAATGGGCAAGCTGAAATCTCAAACAGGGAAATCAAGAGGATTTTAGAGAAGATTGTCCAGCCTAACAGAAAGGATTGGAGCAACAAATTGGAGGATGCTCTTTGGGCGCATAGGACGGCTTACAAGGCACCTATAGGGATGTCTCCCTATCGGGTTGTCTTTGGTAAACCATGCCACCTACCGGTGGAGATAGAGCACCGAGCATATTGGGCTGTGAAATCATGCAACTTCTCACTTGATGAAGGCTGGAGAGGAGAGGAAGCTACGAGATAAATGAATTGGATGAGATCCGTTTGGAAGCTTATGAGAACTCCATGTTCTACAAAGAGAAAACTAAGAGATTTCATGATAGCTCCATAGCTAGGAAGGAGTTCTTTGTTGGTCAACAAGTACTATTGTACAATACCAGATTGGGTCTCATGGGTGGTAAGTTGCGTTCAAAGTGGATTGGACCTTTTATTGTTACAAATGTTTATCCTTATGGTGCAGTTGAAATTAAAAGTGAATCCACAGAAAAGAGCTTCAAGGTTAATGGCCATCGGCTGAAACCATTCCTCGACAATCCTTCTCTAGTGGATGTAGTTGTGGAGGAGATATCCTCGATTGATCCCACTTACCTTCCACCATGACTTAGGGAGTTTTTCTTTTTCCTTCTCTTTACTTTTACTGCACTTGTCCAATTGGTGATTTGATTGCTTGACTAGATGTTATGCTACATTGGGACAATTTGTAGTTTAAGTGTGGGGGAGACTGTTCTTTGTTTTCTTTGTTTAGGATTTTTAGTTTTCTTTGTATTTCAGGTTCGTGTTTTGTGTACAATTTGCATGTTTCTTTTGGATCTCTGGGTTTTGTTTAGGTTTTGGGCACTTTCTTCACTCTTATGCTTTTTGGATCTCTGGGTTTTGGGTTTTGGATCTCTGGAGTTGCTTTATGCTTTTTGGATTGAAATCCCTGTTTTTCTCTGCTTGTCAAATTGGTTACGATGTTTGAGAGGCTGAATTGAAGGCGACAATCTTACCCTTTGTGAGGAATTGAGCCACTACCTTTCTTTCTTGAGTGTTATGCCTCTTGATTGCTTGCGCAGTAGCCTTGGCTTGACTCGATTGATACTTCTTGATTCACATGCATGTTTGGAGATGATTAAGGCATTTTTGTTCTGATTAGCCTCTAGCCAAATGAGCTTACCTTGAATTAATTCCTTTGATAGCCCCTTTGAGCCTATGTTTCCCTTTATTTCTTTTGAAGCTCATTAAAAGCCTTAAGTGAAAAACCATGATTACCTTAACCTTAGGGATTTTTGGAGCTTTGGAATTGTTTTGGGAATAAGTGTGGGGGTGCATTTTGTATTTCATTGGATGATGTATTGGCTAGTTGGTTATCTCTGCTATATAGTTTTTGTGTTTTCCTTTCTTAAAAAAAAAAAAAAAAAAAAAAAAGGAAGAAAAAAAAAAGATATATATATATATATATATATATATATATATATATATATATATATATATATATAAAAAGGAAAGTTGTGGTTGAGGTAAAGGCGGTAGTGGAGGTTTGATATTAGAGGTTTTGGGCATGCATCTTGTGCTTATTTTTTACTTATTCCCCATTGCTCCTCTAGTTCCTCCGGTTCACAGCTACTTATCCTATATGATATCCTCTACCTTGTCCCTACCCCCACTACAACCTAAAAAGACCTTTTGATCTTTTTATGCATGTGCGTTGGGTGTTGAGTTTAGAGGCTTGTCAAGTCTATCTGTTGTTTGCTTTTCTTGAGTATTTTGAGAGTATACAGTAGCCTAAACACATGAGAGATACAATGCATCTTGTGAGATTTTGTCACTTTGATTCACCTTTTGACCTGATTGACCTCTTG